CGTAAGACTGAGTAAATCCATATTTCTTTAGGGACACAGCCAACTTAGCAAACCAACATCGTGGAGCTTGAGGCAAGCTATATAAAAAAAATCAACCGACATACCAGGTCAGGCCGAGAAGATCGAAATCCAGATGGATGTTTCATGTGGACCTCCTCATCTAGATCATTATAGAGAAAAGCATTGTGCACATCCATTTTGATGCAATTCCCAGTTCTTGGCGGCGGCCACTGCCAAGAGAGTACGAACGGTGACCATTTTCGCAACTGGAGCGAAGGTCTCAGTATAATCAATTCCTTCTTGTTGGTGATTCCCGAACACAACAAGACGCACCTTGAGACGCTCCACAGATCCATTCAAATGATATTTGATCTTGTACACCCATTTGCAACCGAGAGCCTTTTCCCGGGGGAGGGGTTCCATGGACGAAGTGTGATTGTTTTCAAGGGCCCGAATTTCATCCTGCATAGCCTTACGCCAACCAGCATCGGCCATAGCATCCCAGAATGAGCGAGGTTCCTGCCCTGCAAGAATAGCTCCAAGAAAGCCCCAATGACGGGAAGAAAACTTGTCACATTTTAGATAATGAGCTATAGAGTAAGGCGTACCTGAGGAACCAATGGAGGCTAGTGGTGACGAAGATGGGCTCGGGGGCGGACGTGATGAGTGAGAATGGAGGCGCGTTTAGACCGCATACCACGCCCAAGAGAATCGATGTCTGCCTGTCCAGGAACTGTAGGAGGTCTGACCGTAGGTCCCGTACGAGAAGCCGTAGGTGCAGTGGGTGGGACCACAAGCTTCAGGTCAAATATAGTGGGGCCAGGACTACCCAAAACTGAATCTGCAGGAGGTGTCATGGGCGTACATGGTGAATCTGAAAAAGGACACTCGTCCTCATGAAATTGAAAGTCCCGAGACACAAATAGTTCCCCTGTGTGCCAATCATATAATTTCCAGCCCTTCTAACCATGAGGGTAGCCCACAAAAACACAATGTCTACTACGTGGAGAAAATTTATTGCCTCTAGCTAGATTTTTTATTATGAGCAAAACAAAGGCACTCAAACACACGCAAGTGAGAGAAATCGGGTGTCGTACCCATGAGCATTTCGTAAGGAGTTTTCCCTCCCAATAGATTGGACGGTGTCCGATTGATGAGATGGACTGCTACTAGCACGCATTCTCCCCATAGGCCAATAGGAAGATTGCTTGGAACATCAAAGCTCGTTCAACATTTAAAATGTGGCGATGTTTGCACTCCACTCTCCCATTTTGTTGGGGTGTATGGACACACGAAGTTTGAAACAGAATACCGTGTGTATCAAAGTGAGTCTTCATGCACCGAAATTTTGTCCCATTATCCGTGCGCACAATTTTAACAGAGACAACAAATTGTTTTTTGACCATAGTGAGATAAGACATGAAATATTTACGAAAGAAGATTAGATCATACTGTCCCAAACACTTCGTCATCTATTCCAATAAGGGATTGATAAAAGTGTTCTTCATCTCGGTCGTCAGCAAATTTTTTCACCACACCGCACGTGCACCGGAAGCAAGTACACATGTGCATCGACTTCAATCTGTTGAGCTCGTCGTGCAAGCTCATAAGGGTCGCGTAATAGCCATCAACGCTCATAGTTTTGGATTGTTTGCACGACGTGATCGATGCCCTCAATTGTTGCACCCTGGGCCCATTAGCGACGCTATAACGCGTCTCCAAATGAACCCATAGAGAGCGAGCTTCTTTGTGGAAGGGGATCGATTACGCCACTGCCGGTTCCGGTTCCATGCTTCTCAACAGTCATGACACCACCATGGAGTTGACGGTGTCCTATTCAAGTCTCTTCGCCACTTCGGTAGGTTCAGTAATTGTTCAATCTACAAACCCATACTTGCGACGGGCCTTCAATGACGAGGAGATAGCACGTGACCATGTCACATAGTTATCCCCCTCAAAGATGACGTGTGTAATGAGATTACCAGGTTGATCTCCGGAGCTGAGGTAGTATGACGAGGTCGGATCCGCCATGGCTGCCGTCACTGAGCACGCGGGTGCTGTTTCGGTGTAGGCGGAGGATGAGTTGTGCACCCCCTCTAGGGCTCTGATACTATACTGAACAATTTTGGGATTGATTGGGGTAAAATCATGTGTATTCATTCCTTACAAGATGTTATATATATACATAAGGTGTGGTTCTAATGAGAACGATGCTTAACGTGAGAACATGAGAACAAATCTAAACCACTCATCAAAAGTAATCAACGGACAAATTATATCTTGTACACCTAATTATGGTGTGGACAATCCTAGAAGATAATTTCCATACCTAAAAGATTGGACTTGCGGTGCTTTATCAAAGGGTGAAGTTGTAATTTTGAAAGGGGTATTTAATGTGGATAAAGTATAACATAGCTCACTTCCTTAAATTAGGGAAGTTTAAAATACAATTAATAGTTCTTACCAAAATAAAATCAACTAAAAATAGATGAAAATACATGTCAATATATATCATATACGGTTGTGATATAATTCACTGAAATTTATACAAATTGACAAATTGTACATGAATATAATGCACATGAACTAGTACCTAACACACAATATGTATATAAAATATTCAAACAAGTCTCTTGAGCACAAAAATCAGAATCTAGTGCACAACAATTAAAAACTAATTCATATCTAATGAATAATGACTTCATGGTTTTTGTTCAAATAAGAACATGATCTTAGGAGAGAAATGAGAATGAATCTCGACCGTTAGATTTGCTTTATGTGAAATTCAATGTGCATTAGATGAAACTATAATGTGTATTAGGTGAAATTGAAATCTGCAACACAAAGGGCACAATACAATGGCATTATGTGAAGTTGAATTATGTATTAAGTAAAATTGAAATGTGCACTAGGTGCAACTGAAATGTGTAAAATAAAAGGTACGATGTGATGTTATTTTTGTACCTTTTATTCTGCACATTTCAGTTTCACCTAATGCACATGTGAGTTTAAATTTTTATGTTGCACACTTCAATATCATCTAATGCACATTTCAACTTCACCTAATGCACAATTCATTTCCAAATGATTCAATCCAACGGTTCAGATTCATTCTCATTCCTCTCCCAAGAGTCCATTCTTACCGGAACCGCTCCCATGACTTCATAAACCTTAAACTATTATATAACACACATGAATCAGTATCTAATGCATAATACGTATGTAGCCCAAGAACAAATACCTAATGCACAAAAATCAATATCACACTTTCAATCACCATGATTAAATGCACACGAAAAATTATCATACATATTATACTTATATAACACACTAGAATCAATATATAATACACAAAAAAACGTTAGATGGAAAATACACAAGAAAAAGTGTTTGACGCACATGAATAAATATGTACTAATTAAATGAAACAAAAATGGTAATGTAATGATTGCTTCCAAAAAAATGACTTATTCTAATTAATATAATAACTTCAAAAAGTTAGTTAGGAACTACGTAAGTGGACTCAACTTACACAATACTGTTCTTGTTCATCATATCCAGTAGTTGGAAATGTTTATTATTCTTTATTGTGTACATATTTTATTTTTAAAAATTATATATGACATATTGGTGTCATATGAAAGAGCATAAAAAGATATTTAATTTGATGTAATTTTTGTTAAAATTGAATCATTATTTAAGAAGTTAAATCAATTTTTAAACTAAAGAAATTTTATATGATATGAGATTTATTATTACCTAGTTTTAAATTGGATACTTTTTAAAATTACCATGTGAGAAGACGTAAATGTGAGAAGACTTAATTGTCCTTTCATATGCCTCATTTGATCACAGATGGTTATTGATTTTGGATGGCTGAAATGTGTTCTCACGTTCTCACGTTAAGACCCGTTCTCATTTGAACCTAGACACAATGCTACTCTAAGACTAAAAACTACGCCCTTAGCCCACATAATTAATTAATTAATTAATACGGCCCCCTAACAGATAATTTTGACGGCAAATAGTCTAGCTGGATACGGAAAATGTTATCCCGAGGAGGGCTATTTTTGACATCACTCGGATTAATTTAAAGATCTGTGTAGGCCTACTTACAATGAGGGTGTTGATATAAGGTCTCTAGTTGATATTCAAAAGGTTTCAGCCATGATACTTTGGTGGGAATTTCAGAAAGGTAAGACTATATGGACCGAGTTGGCCCTGAGTAAATATGGGAAGCATATCTTACGGATTCTTCAACTTGGAGAAGATTCTGCTTAATCGATGAGGAGGGTGAACAAATGATTGGCACAAGCCCTGATTCTATAATATGGAAACATGCAACAGTTGGTGAATTTACGACCAAATTGGGATACTTGGTATAATGTCCGCAGAGGGGGGAGGACTTTAACGCTTAAAAGTTAAAACATACTACCTCCGGTTTTTTTTAATCTTCACAATTTGACTTCACATAAAATAAGGAAAGAAATTTGACTTTACTGTAGAGTACACTATTGAGACACTGTTTGACACTGTTGAGACACTGTTTGACATTGTTTGGCACTGTTTTGATGTAGATTTCTTTGCCAAAAAAGGAAATAAGGAAGTGTGAAGTTTATTTTAGACCGTCCCAAAAAGGAAAATGTGAAGTTTATTAAAAACCGGAGAGAGTACTATATTAGGCACCCAAAGTAGGTACCAAAAAAAAGGGTTTTCCTGTAGAGATTATGACATAAGAAATATCAACCTTATCGCGAAAAGATTCACCATATTGAATTTTCTTAGTCAATGTCTCAATGATATCAAAACTATGAACAAATGAGCAATTATTTTTTTAATTACTATATTTGTTTATAATTTATAAATTTTATACATTTTTCAGCAAATTATAAATTTTATACTTATGAAAATATTATAAATGAGGAAAATTTTGATATATACTTTTCCTATTCAAAATATTTTCATATTAAAAGTTACCATTGATCAAAGCTAATTGTTATTGACCAAGAAAAATCAATTTGATGAACATTTCCGGGGTAGAGTAATAAATTGAAATTAAAAAATGCACAAACCAGACCAGGAACAGACACGAACTACACGGGTACACAGGACCAGGCCTGAACCCATAATATCCAGATCAGATCTGGGCCTCCAAATGTTAGAACCAGAAACGACCGATCCAGAACCCGACCAGTCTCGGATCCCAGATCTATCCCTACTTCACAGTTCACCCCAGTTATGGTCAAGTGATCCGTGAAGAGGCTACTTTAGGATTTCGATGGATGCCGTCACCTATTCTATGGTTGATTAGTAGACAGACATCGACGCATATCCACAAGTAGTGATTACAAAATTAACAATTTTACCTCTTTGAAGGAAAGCACACCAACTCATGGTTTTAGATAATAAAAACGTACATGACAAAAAATAATACAAAAAACATCACAATATCACAATTACGGTAACTAGTGTCCTCATAGTAACTCTAAAGTGAGCAAGCAATTGCATTGCTCAACGCTTCATACAGACCGGTACTTTGTCCCTTAATCATCCCCAAATGTTGTCTTCTTGCCTGCAAAAAAACGGAATTTCAATCATTAAATAAAATGAACAAAATAATCCTCCTGGTACCGAGGAACTAATGATAATAGAATACCGGTAGGAGTAAAGCTTGAACTGCTACGACCACGACCGCCTCCCCTCCCACCAAAACCCCCATCACGACCACCCCTTCCACCACTACTAAACCTGCCACGACCACGATCACGACCACCACCCCCTCTGCCTCTACCACTATCACGTCCTCCACGACCCCTTCCACCCCCACTATCACCTCTTGGCTTTGCTTCATCCACGTACAAGGTGTTATTTCCAATTTGGGAGTTGTTGAGTTCGAGAGCCTTGGTGAGAGCATCACTGTCTCCAAACGTGATATACGCAATCCTACACATGAACACAAAACTAATATCAGCCAAACCAAATTCCATATCTGAAACCTAGATAGAAATAACAAGGAAATGCAGAGTAAAGAAAATCGGGAAAACAACTTTAAGGAAATCTGGAAGGGAAGAAAATGCAGAAAAAATGCTTGACACCATATCAGAAAAAATGCTTGGACCTTTCCTAGAGTTTTTATTTTCAATATTTTCTTTTTCTTTAATTACACCATATATCCCAAACATAATGACCCTTTCACTGTTGACACAAAGTTTAATGAAACGAAGACATAAATAGAACAATTGCAGTGGGGGAAACTGGTTTCTTTTTTAAATTCATACTACAAATGGGCTATATGAGGACACAGGAGTACCATCTTGGATGTAAACTTGAAATATATGGATGCATGAAAAAGAGTGGCAATCATTCAGCATAGCATTTGGTCACGTGCCTACTCAGATTTGAGTCCAAATATGTGCTTAAATAATTGAGATTTGATTCCATGCACTATTTAATTTCACACATACCCTTTAACATAACCATCTGGGTCTGTTGGAAGTCTTGTGCTTTTAATGTCTCCACAAGAGCCAAAATGACCTTCCAGAGTACTCCTAATCTGCAAATTGTACACAGAATCTCCATTAGACATGACCCTAGTCGAGCACTAGTGAGATTCAAGAGACGTGAAAAAGGAATTCTAGGCACCTTGTCTTCATCATCATTTGTGTCAAACCCCCTCACAAAAATAGTTGAACCTTCATCTCTATCCTGCTTCTGGTAAGAACTATCACGCTTCCTGCAGTGAAATGAGCAAGAACATTACTAAACCATGCTGTAATCACACTTTAATTGATCCAAGTGAGGCAAGGTCACCTACCCACTGCCATATTCACTATTGGGGGTATAAGCTCCTCTCTCTTTTGCAAGGTCAAGTCTTACATCACGTCCCAACAATGGTTGTCCATTAAGTTCAAGAGCCTTTATACACATGGCACCAAACATCAAATTGACTAATAATAGCACATAACAGATATTACTAATTTACATCAGTCAACAGAACTGGAGTAAAAAGAGTGACATCAATAGCAGACATTTAAAATAATGAGGTAAAATAATGACTGTTAATGATGATTAACCACTCCTCTTCCGAGAAGTTAAATTTGCCAAAGATACAAGGTTTTGTTATATAATCAGGTAATTAAAACAAAAAAACAAGTCAGTATGTGTAATTAATTCTTTAATCTTTTATTTTGTTGTTTAACTAAAGTGGTTAATAGGTGCAAAAAGAGGTGGGGTGAAGGAGAGGATGACCCAAACATATATGAATTATAGTGTTCAAGAATAATTTGGTATTTCTTGGGTTGGTTGAGAGCAAGACTTTTGAAAGAGTGAAGTGGAGGGAGAATATACATGTTGATTCATGTTAGCCAACCCCAAACTAAAGTGTTTTGGGACTAAAATTTGGTTGAAGTTTAAAATGAAGTATACTCAATTTAGCTTTTTATCAATTCTCTTAACACATTGCATAAAAATTAGTTTCATTTGATCAAATAGTTCACCTTACAGGACAACAGATCGCAAGTTATTATTTTGAAAAAACTCTTGTCTACACGAAAGGGTTAAACAGGGAGCCCAGTATATAACAAAATCACTTTACCTTAGAGGCAGCCTCAGAAGAGGTAAACTCAACATGTCCAAAACCCTTAAGAGTCCCATCTGGATGGGCAGCAAAACGAACTTGCTTCACCTCTGCAACATCCTTAAAGAAATTCTCACTGCATGTGATAAGATATAGGTAAGAAGATAGCTAAAGTACAAGGTCAAATGCATATGTTGTACTTAAAATATCAAGAGTCCCAAGATCAACTTTGATATAACATACATGTCAGCCTCTTGAATTGACCATGACAAATTCCCAATAAAGAGAGTTGATGATCCTTGAACTGCGGCCTTAGGTGTGGCAGGGGTCTTGGGCTGCATTTTAGAAGCAACAAAGTTGCACAAATCAAAGAGACAATTTGTAACAAAATTATAATTTAACCAACAATACCAAAAAAAACTTACAGTTTTTGTTGCAGTTTGAGGTCCGCCTTTTTCACCATCCGCATCAACCATTTTCACATCTTTAGGCTGTCCAGTGCAAACATATTAAATGATCAAGGATGTGCCAATACTATAAACAGTGCTACTGTATGATTCACAAAAAATAGCATATTAAGCAAAAAAATTCAGAACTTAAATAATTCACTTTCAACATTCCACGAATTCATACGAGTTGTTCAAGTCGGTACCAACACAGACGGGGCAATTCCCTAAAACATACTGACAAGAAGCAATTACCTTCTTTATACTCTTTGAAGGCTCATCTTCTTCCTCACTGGACTCCTCTGAGGATGAATCATCAGAGCTACTCTTCTTTTTTTCAGCAGGCTGTATGTCAAACATAATAATGTGCACAGTCAAACAGCATGCAAGTGTATAAAGCATTTCAGTTGTCAGCTTCATGATATTTAAGAATAGATATTACTTGTGAAGAAAAAAATCAATCCTGCATACATACCTTGATCTTCTTCTTCTGTGGCTCATCATCTTCACTTTCTTCAGAGCTGGAATCTTCACTATCGTCAGTTACCTTCACATCATAATGGAAGCAAAATTTCTATTGGTACCCTTAAATGCATTCTCTTTTAGGCTATGTCGTTGAACAAAACTTGTTGACAGATAATGGAACCAAATGTCTCATAATATGATCTTAAGCTAGAGTACATGTAAACATCATCAAATCAAGCACATGGAGGGATGTTGAAGTAAAGAACCTTTTTATTTCCAGCTAGTAGGGAAGCCTTTTTGGATGGAACATCCTGAACAGACAGTAACACAAGCTGAAGCGATGCTGGAAGTTTAAAAGAATTAACTGAAAACAAAGACATGCTCTAGACATCATTAGGCTATTACACAACAACTTACATCTTCATCAGAGCTACTACTCTCATCTGAACTGTCATTAACTTTTTTTGTAGGTGCAGATGCTTTTAGGGGAGCCTTCTTAGCAGGGGTGACATTCTCATCATCATCATCTGAACTAGTGTCTTCCGAGCTTGATTCACCTTGTGGCTTTTTTGCTGCCTCTTCCTTGGCAGGTTTGGAAAGAGCATTCTTAGCAGAGGTGTCTTCCTCATCATCAGAACTACTATCTTCAGAGCTGGATTCACTTATTGCCTTTTTTTCTACCCCTTTTGTGGCAGGTTTGGAAGTAGCCTTCTGAGGAGCTTTCTTAGCAGGGGTGTCATCCTCGTCATCTGAACTACTGTCATCAGAGCTTGATTCACTTTCAACCTTTTTTCCTGCCCCTTTTGTGGCAGGTTTGGCAGGAGCCTTCTTAGAAGGAGTCTCATCATCAGAACTACTATCATCAGAGCTCGACTCTGTTTCACTCTTTTTTGGTGCACCTTTATTGGCACTTTTGATTGGAGCAGATTTTGGTGCAGCCTTTACAGCAAATTAAACACAAAATGAATGAATTAGAATATTGAACTAAGTAACTGAAACCTACCACGCAGAAATTTAACACAACAACTGAACAAAAAACATACATTGTGCAAGTTATATATATTTCTTTCAGCTTTTATTGAATCAGTTGCATCAACACTAACCTTCATGGGAGTTTCATCATCAGAAGAAGAAGAACTGTCGTCTTCAGAGCTTGACTCGCTTTTTCTACCTTTCGTTGCCCCATTTTTGGCAGGGGTTTGAGTAACCTTTTTGGTAACGGGAGCCTCATCATCACTGTCATCAGAGCTATCATCTTCGGAGCTTGATTCACTTTTTTGAACTTTAACTAACCCATTTTTGGTTGTAACGGATGTAACTTTTTTTGTGACAGGGACATCCTCATCTGAACTACTATCAGAATCGCTATCTTCATCTGAAGAGCTTTCAGGTTTACCTTTTTTCGCATGCAGCGACTTTTTGGGTGCAGGTTTAGTTTTAGGAGCAGGTTTCTGATAATTTTAAAAAATTAAACAATCAGGAAAGGAATGTGTCAAACTTTGAAGAGCAGCATACAAAACTCAAAACACACATAAAGAAACACAGATATGAATAAAACGTGCTCAGTTTATTTCTTCCTGAAGCCTTCCTTTTTTAAAGAAGTTTGTACTTGGTCTAATTAAGTTCTACCTAATCAAAACAAGCTTCCTTTTAACTACGCAAATGCTTGAATTGAAAGAGGATACAAGCATAAAAATCACAGCTTAATCTAACAATTTGTTCGTTTACCTTTAGTTCTTCATCCGAGTCAGAAGACTCTTCATCGGAACTACTATCCGCCTTCTTCAGAATCTTAGCCTCAGCCTTCTTCTTCTCGACAGCTTGTTCTAATCCCGAAGCTTTTTTCTGCTTTTTAGCGCTTGGCTTCTCGAAAGCTTCAGCCTCTCTCTTACCTGCGAACAGAAAAATATTCGAGTACTCCTAATTTGTCACTACAAAGTAATTGAGACGGTTAAAAACCAATTGCGTCAACGAATATAAAAAAGATGGACTTTTTTTAAAAGAACCTTTCTTCATCAGCTTTGTTGGAGCAACTATGGCAGGAGCGGCATCAACCTATAATTAAGTTCAACATAAATAATTTTATTTTATATAAAAACTACAAAGTTATTTCGGACGATATTAATATACTCTTAACTTTAAACACAACTCTTTGCGACGATAATTTACCTTCAGGATCGATTTCTTAGAAGACTTGCCCATCCTAACCGAGAAAAACTGCGTAGCTTTGGATTTAGAAGCAGCTGTGCCGGCTGAAAACCCCTTTGATAATTAGGGTTTATGGTGTAGAAGCTGAAAATCGAGGGGGTGACACGATGGATATTTATTCCACTTTTTAGGGTTGATTGCTTTGGACATATTTTAGGCTTTTAGGTGCCCAACGTGTAACTCAAGGCCCATTCTATATCGTGCCCAGTGCAGTGTGTATTCTTATAAGGAGTAGTTCATACTTCATATTCCAATTTATATGATGATTAAATTTGCAAATAATAAAAATAAAAATTAAACATCTTAAATTGTTTTTTAAATCAAATAACTAATTTATTAATAAGCGATAGCAAAAATACAAGAGAATGAATAGTCTGAGGCTACAATGGGATGAGACATAGAACGGAACAGATTCCATGAATCCTTCCAGATCGCTAACCCCGCAATAATGTAGTCTAGTCTAACAGCGTTGTTGATCTTCTTGCTACTCCAAGGAGAAATTAAAAAATTATAACTAAAAGATCTGGCTTCACCAACCACCGGAAAGGGAGAATTGGTTTGACGAGCAACCAACAAAGGGAAATCAGTCGAGTAGAAATTTCTTGAAACATCGGTTTGACCAGCCACCGAAAAGGAGATTCGCTTGATCATCTTCTTCTTCCCAGAGTGAGGCGCTGGTTCAGGTGGTGGGCGAGTATTTGAAACATCAGAACAACAAGGTTGAAAAAACTTCACCGGATCGATTATACTGATTAGAAACGCACAGCCTCTAGACATTGCTAGGAGAATAACATATCACACACTCACATGAAGCGGACAAAATTGTCGGCCAATGAAGAAGCTGGACCAAATTCCTTGAAAATAGAAATTGAAAAAGAATGAAAGCATAGAAAAAACTTTGATTCGATCTTTCATTGCATAGAGAATGTCTTCATCTTCCAAAATTGAATCTTGAGGGGGGTTGGGGATGGCCGCCTAGGGTTTCCCCTAGGGCCGGCTCTCTATCACGCGGCACTCAATAGTATTCTTTTTAGCCCGAGTGTTGTCAAATTAAACATCTTAAATTGTTAATTTTGACATTTTATTAATTAAAAAAAAAAACACTCCCTCCGTCCCTCTATAATTGTTCCATTTTTCCATTTTTGAATGTCTCACTATTATTGTCTCATACCATATTTGGTAACATATGTGTAGCTCTAATTCATTCTTACTTTATTATCACTTTATCAACTCATTATTAACCATGCAATTTTACTTTTCTAAAAAATCACAACACTCTCTTTTGTCTCAATATTAGCGGGATGGAGGTTGTAGTTAATTTGAAATGTAAACATCTTAATACAGAAGTGATAAATATCTTAATATTGAAATGTAAAAGGAAATGTAAAAGAGAAACTAGATTGATCTCATGAAAAATTAAATACTCCCTCTGTCCACAAAATACTTCTCGGATAGACTTGGATCGAGGTTTAAGAAAGTGAGAATAAAGTAAAAATGTATGATTGTGGTTGAGTAAGAGAAAGATGTTAAGACACAGGATTCCATCCTAAAAGGTCAACCTGTTAGGAGGAGTAGCTCAGATCTTAATATAGTGTTTAATTATTTCAGAGGTATCCGGTGTGGGACTTTAACACCCCTCCTCACGACCAAACACCTTCGTCTGGATCGTGCCGTCATTTATTTGTTCATCGGTCCGTGATTGACATGACATTTTTTTATAGTCGTGTAATCATTTTTCAATAAGGGGCCCCGTCCCCGGTACTTGCAGAGACCCTCTATTGAGTAACCTCTCATCGCAATTGCCGGGAGTCAAACTCGGGACCTAACCCTTGTGGCACTCCCTCGCTACCAGTCATCCCAGTTGACCTCTCATCACATTTTTTGTTAAGACCCGGAGTTCCATCCTAAAAGGTCAACCTGATATGAGGAGTAACTCATGTGTTAATATAGCACTTTGTTCATCCAAACTTTTCCGGTGTGGGACATTTAACACCCCTCCTCACGACCAGACACTTTGTCTGGATTGTGTTATCATTCATTTTTTTTCATCGATCCGTTTTTTTCATCCGGTCATTTTGTAATCACGTCATCATTTTTCATAAGGGGTCCCACACCATGGATCGATTTTGTCTCTGATACCATGTTAGGACACAGGGTTCCATCCTAAAAGGTCAACCTTTTAGGAGGAGTAGCTCAAATCTTAATATAGTGTTTAATTGTTTCAGAGATATCCGGTGTGGGACTTTAACAAAAGATAAATGAATGGTAGTCACACAAACCTTTCCAAAAAGGAAAATGAGGGGAAAAAATTAGGACGTCCCAAAAAGGTGAGTGAGAAGAATTTTCATAAACGGGGAGAGCACAAAAGTATTTTTTGTTTTTATTTGTATTTATTAATCTATTATAGTATATTTTTATGTTAAATGTCAACATCTTTGAACTGGGATAGACTTTGACGATATGACCCCCTTTAGTCCTCTTTGGAAGTGTATAGTAGTATTTTTATAATTCATAATTTAAGCGGTATTTGTAAAATCAAATCAACTTCGATGTCACGAAACCAGCTTTGACATATGTGTATGTCAAATGCCATAACTATGTTCTTGCACCTTGGATATCAAATACGGAGTGTGATTCTAACTAAAAGGGCATGTCAGTTTGGTTTAACTGAACCGTACTAAATTGAATTAAACTGAATCGAAACCAGACCATATGTAATTTGGTTTAAGTTTTATAGTATTTCTTCCACTTCATATTAAATCGAACCGAAACCAATAAAAACTGAACAAAATCAAACTGAACTAAAGAAATTCAATAAAACCATCATATATTATGAAAAAACACAATTTCAAATCGAACCAAACCGAAACATAGTATGGCTTTTGTTTGGTGTGATTTCTTCCTACTCGTTCCAAACGGAATCGAAATCGATAAAACCGAACCAAAAACAAATATACCCATCTCCTAAGTCTAACTAAAGTAGATTATATATTGACATGACATATGTCACATATTTAAATGTTTATGTTCTAATTCAGTGGTACTTGATCACATCATAGCATATTATATAGGATGGGCTTTGATCTTTGTATCAAAGTGTTGAGGTTTATTCCTTCAACCCCGGGTCCAACACGTAAGCCCAAGGATTTCGAATGGAGTGTGTGATTAAACTAGCCCAACAAGCAGATGATATGGATTAGGAAGGCAGTAAGGTAGCGAGTAACTGATTAGGTATTATTATCTCTTAATAACTCCCTAATACAATACTTTTCGCTAAGGCCCCGTCGGCCGTTCGTCTTACAAGGCAGTAGAAGTGCTGCGAGCAAGAATGCTATAGCTAGAGTGCTAATAATAGAAAGTTGCCAACCCTTTACAATGAAATAAATGCTTCTATTTATACCCGCCAATGGCAGGTGGCTATGCTGACGTGGAGGCCTGCGGACCGCTTGTGTCCCAACCACCAAATCTTCTGCATTAAATGCACTTCCCGCCAGAATCTAGGTTTCCCGCCTAAATAATGGGGACGTTCGTCTGCCAGGGGGTGAGCTGGGTCACTCCAAGTGATCCTCAAGAGACTTCGGCTGTTCGTCCCCTGACCTTGGTGGATTCTCTCCATGTGGACTGGATCTCCTCCGACGATCATGGGCCTGCCCACGAGACGTTCGTCGTTATCCCTGATGGCCAGGGGTCCTGCCCCTTACCTCTGCACATACGTTCGTCGCGATGGGCCGTTTGAAACCTGGACCCCCCAATTCCAGACGTTCGTCTCTTTCCAAAGGTCATGGGCCTGCGCCCAGCCTGGTCCTAGCATGACGTGCGTCCGATAGAAAAAAAAGGGGTTAATGGGCCGGACCTCGGCCTGGGCCATTATCCCAACACAAGTCCCCCACTTCTGATGTTCTGGGCATGCGCAGGACATAAGGAAGTATGGATGCCCCGAAATGGACGTTCGTGTCTTGACACTTGTGTCTTATTGCATCTGGCGGAAGCGTACGCTCGTGGTCATGGTGCTTAACAGCTGTCGACGGTTCAGGAAACGAGGTGACGGCTGCTGTAGCGGCGGTGCATTTTCCGAGGAAATGCCATCATTACGCTTTCGTCCCACGCACAGCGCGTGAGACGGAATACGCTCCTTGCCACGTGTCCGTCCCTCGTTGGTCCCCCCATTGGTGTCTCTCCTATAAATGCCGGGTTTTCCCTCTGGGTTAGGGTTCCCGGTTTCCGCTCTCTTGTCTTCGAATTCCGCAGCTCTTCAAGTCTCCTCCCGCTCCCAAGTTCGGCTAATCCCTCTGAGGTAACTTCCATCTTCTGCTTCTTTTTCTTGTCTTGAATTCTTGTCGCGATGGTTTCGATGGAGATCTCGTCAAGTTCTGGTTCGGGTTCATCGGGTTCCTCCTCGGGTTCCTCCTCGGGTTCCTCTTCCGACTCCGGTTCTCGCTCTTCGGGCGAGGTTAGCACTTCCGGTAGTTCTGGGTCGGCCCCTACCGTGGGAACTGTTCAGGCCGGGAAAACCCAAATTGGTGTTGTTGCGACTGTCCCTGGTGAGGAGGGTGCTGATTCGGGAGAGCAAAACAGTATGGCCCTCGACGTGGTGGATCCCGTGGTTGAAGACGGGGAACAGGAGTCCGCCAGTGAGGGCGGTCGTCCGGACGGATATGATTCTGGGGTCGAGGCCCAGGACGGTTCCGACATCGAAGTTTTTGACCTCGGGCTAAAGATAGATGTGGAGAGGCATCTATGCCCGATCAAGAATGTCCTCTGTCATGAGCAGATCTTCTCGCCGGTGGCCCTTAACAAGCTCAAGGTGTTCTTCCCCCCTCCGTCCGTATACAGCCTCCGTGGCGCAACCCACGTGATGAGGAGACGTCCAGGGATGATTATGGTGCTTCTGGACTCCATCGAGGCTGGGCTGCGTTTCCCTCTCCATCCGTTCTTTGTGGAATTCTTTTGCTGTTATCAGATAGCCCCCGCTCAACTCATGCCGAATTCCTATCGATGGCTCTCCGCCTTCCTAGTCCGTTGCAAGGACACTGGGGTCACCGCCACTTTGGATCTGTTCCATTACTTCTATCGGCTCACACCCCAGAATTCCGACGGTTTCCTGAGCATTGCAGCCCGTCCGAAGCGGAGGTTGTTCAGCGGGGCACCGAGTTCCATCCATGATTGGAAAAATCGGTTCTTCTTCGTGCGGTATGCGGATGCTCGTCTGCCA